GCGGCGGGAGCGCAACAACATCGCGGTGCGCAAGAGCCGGGACAAGGCCAAGCAGCGCAACGTGGAGACGCAGCAGAAGGTGCTGGAGCTGACCAGTGACAATGACCGCCTGCGCAAGCGGGTGGAACAACTGAGCCGCGAACTCGACACTCTGCGGGGCATCTTCCGCCAGCTGCCCGAGAGCTCCCTGGTCAAGGCCATGGGCAACTGCGCGTGAGGCGCGCCGCGGCGGGACCGCCCTGGGCCGACCCCCGGCTGGGACCCAGGGAGTATTTTCGTGGTCTCAGGATCTCAAGACTGCCCACGCCGCGCATGCCAGGACTAGGAGATTCCGATGCCGCCTGAAAGCCTGGACTGTCGCGCGTGCCCCCTGCCTTCTTCTGCGCGGGACACGGTGCGTCTAAGATAAAGGGTCAGGCAGTAGTTTCTCCCTGTAAGAGAGAAGTGCCCGGGGCCAAGCCGGGAGCCTGGCAACTCTAGTATTAAGGAATAACCTTGTGCCTTGGAAATGCAAACTCACTGCTCTGATTCCTACCAAGTAGGGGGAGCAAATATGTGCCTTGTCATTTTATTTAGAGGGTTCCCTGCCTTGGTCCCAAGGCTGCAAGGCTGCAGCAGGCCCCCATGAGAGAGGAGGGGTGCAGGCTTCCGGCTGGAGGAAGGTTCAGGGAGCAGAGATCCTATAAGCCAGTCCCAGCTGCTCCTCAGCTCCTTGTCCTTGGAGAGGAGGAAACAGGGATGTGGGCTTTGTGAACCTAAGGCAGTTCCCCTAGTTCTACATGAAGGTGGAGGGTCCCTAGTTCCTTGTCTCTAACCCCCCAGCCTACAACAGACTGGGCTTCCAGGGCAGAGCTCCCTGAATGGGAGTCACCATGTGACCAGTGGGAGACCTCACCCCCAGTCAGACCAGAAAGCTAGGTGTGGATTAGCTATAAGGACATATGTACATGGGAGTGGTGGCCTGGTGGAAGAGGGGAGCCTACAGGTCTGGTCTGGGGGTTGGGAGAGGGGTGAAGGGACTCTGGGGCCATCAACCATGTCTGTACTGTATGTTGCCAGCGTTGCCATACAAACACGAAGCACAGTCAGCCCGTCCCGGAGGGACCCAAGTTATGAGAAGATTTCCAAATATTTTGCTTTATCAGCCGATATCAACATTTGTATCTGGCCTCTCTGTGTCCCAGTGGTGCCTTGTGCAATGTGAATGTGCATGTCTATGCTAAACCACCATTTTCTTTGGTTTTTGTTTTGTTTTGGTTTTGCTCAGATACTTGCCAAAATGAGACTCTTCGTCAGCAGCTGCAGGGAGGGTCTGCGGCTCTCTTTCCTTTTGGTTTTGGGATTGCTTTTGCTCCCGGAGGAACCAAAGAGGCAAGATGGGCTTCCCCTTTCCCCTCAGCTTTCCCTGGGGGGTGGCTGTGGACCTTGGTCCCCTCTGGCCCCAAGCTGCCCACAGGCTTGTCCCCCACAGAGGCCTGGCTCCGGGTCTGGAAGGGAGGCGGCCTCCAGCCAGCACACACAGATCGCTGGGCTTGGGAGCAGAGAAGGACAGCTTGGTTCTCTTCTTTGGAGGAGAACGTAGAGTTTCATGCTAGATGTTTTATGTATTATATCTATAATATAAACATATCAAAGTAAATGTTGGTGTTTTTTTAAAACCAGAAAAGCTACTTCCACGGTTTTCTGTGAGCCAGGTCACATTTGTAAATAATCACAGCATATGTTCTGGCTGAGATCCTGACTTCCATTCACTCTGTACCCATGCTGAGCCCCTCTGTACATTAAAGGGGTGACTTCTCCCAACCAAGACAAATAAATGGCAGAAAGAGGACAAGGCTCCAAGCTAAGCATGCCAAAGCCTGAAGAGCATCTCCTGGTCGGAGACTGTTTTGGGGGGCAGGGGGCTCATGGGACCTTGGTGTGGCCTCTCATGGCCCTTTGGGAGAAGAGAGATTCGGAGAGGGAGCCCCCTGCCTGAAGTTGCCGCAGCCTCTTTGGAACTCGGGCAGGCCTTGTGCAGCAGCTTCAGGCTCCAGGGGCCCTTCGGCCACACTCACTTCCAAACACTCACAGTTCCAGCTCTGGAGCAGCCTCGCCCACACCTGCCTTTGCCACAGCAGGACCCTGGGTGGGCAGGGAGAGGCCTCAAGCTGTCGGACCCTCACCCCTTCCCCCTTGCTCTGGGCCACGTGGCTGCAGCCTACTCCGGCAGGGCCCTGAAAGGCAGCCCTAAGACTGAGTACCCCTCCACCAGCCTTCCACACCTTCCCTGCCCAGCTCAGCCCACCCAGAAACAAAGGGCCCACGGCAGGCCTGCAGTTGGGTGTCTGGCCCTTCCCCACGCACCACCCAGCGAGGAACCAGCCCAACATCCATGCTGCCCACTGTGTCCACCCTGCATCAAGCCCCCCCCACCTGGACAACTGCCCTAGGAGGACAGGCACCCCGACACCCTCTTAGCAGCAGTGATAGCCACCAGGGAGGGTGCACCTCCATGCCTGAAAGAGCAAGGCCTGAGAGGAAGTACCCCAGGAGGCTAGCAGGCTTTCAGAGTTGACTCTTTCTGAGGGCAAAAGGCAAAACACTTTTTACCTTCTGTTTCCCACCCTCCCCCAGAGTGTTCACTTGAGCAGCTGATAGTATATGCCATGTGGGCTGCGACAGTTTCAAGAAATTACACATTCTTCTACTTTTTACCTTCTGTTTCCCACCCTCCCCCAGAATGTTCACTTGAGCAGCTGATAGTATATGCCATTGTGGGCTGCGACAGTTTCAAGAAATTACACATTCTTCTTAAACTCTGAACGCTTTGGGTTTACCTGACTGCTTAATGAGGTGACCTACCCCCTTCCCGCTCCCGCTTTCTGTCTTGTGTCTTGCCGCCTCCTCACCCATGGCCGCCCTTGGCAGAGGAAAGGCCATGAGCCCATTGAGGAGGCGGTGGCCTGCCCTGCTGCCTGGGAACCAAGGAGGCAGAGCCCCACCGCCTGCCTAGAGGCCTGGGGCAGGCCACAGCTTGCTAGGCCCCAGCAAACCCTCTCTGAGTTCAGTGCTAATTCCAGTTTTTCTTGTTTGAGGGGGCCAAGCCTTGGCTTCCCCCTTTGCCCCCAGAACAGATCCCAGGATGAGTGGGGGAGGGGCACCCCTCCTACCCTCACTCCTCCCCCTCCCCTCCCACAGTCCCATCTCCAGGGATTTCCTCTTTCAAAGCTGTCAGCTCCTGAAAGGGCACCCGTCCTACTGCAGATCCTTAGGGCCAGGGCAGGCTTTGTTGGGGACAAGATGATCCAACCACAGCCAGCCCCAGGAAAGGAATTGATAGAGCAGCCTGTGGGGGGCTGGGGGCAGCATGGGGGAACCTGCCTAGTTCATGCTCTGTGCCCAGCCAGAGAGGCCCTTGGGGAGAGCCACTCTTCACCACCCACTGCTTCCTGCAAAACCCCCCCCCCCTCCCCACACACACACAGTTCCCCTCCTGACTTCAGCCTCATGAAGAACTACTCCAAGAGTCTGGCACCAAACACACCCCAAGTATTTATTGGATGCCAACTGTATACCAGGGCCTGTGCCTAGGACGAGGCACTCAGCTGAGAACAAGCAGACTGGGCTCCTACTCTTGAGGATCTCATAGCCTTGTGACATCCAGATGTGCTTTAAGGGTGATAAGTGTAATGGGGGGCGGGGGGGCTCAAAGTGTGAATAGAGGCACCAGGGAAGGCTTCCTGGAGGTAGCAGCTTTAACCCAATGCAGCCATGGACCCAGCCTTGCGCTCTCCCATGAGAGTTAGCAGCGACCTCACCCCCTCGGTGGGCCACCAGAGCCTGGTGTCACTGAGAGCACTGTCCCGGGGAGCCAGCCTCCAGGGAAGGAGCAAGGGCAGAAGGGAGAAAGGGAGGCGCTCCTTTGCTGTCAGGTGCCTCCTGATGGTTTAGGCTGTCACGAATGTCACCCTTATCTCTTGGATCTCCTGGGAATCTGTGAACATGGCATTGGGCCCTGACACCTGTGATGAGCCATTGGGACTGGTGAGGAGTATCTGCCCCGCCCAGGTCTC